CAATATACTCCAGTTGTCAGGCCAGCTTAAGTATTTAGTTACTAATAATCTCAACTGCCTTTTTTGTGTGTCTGGTAGAGAATGCAGACCTGATAAAATTAATGAGAGATTCCAGTACTTTTATTCTGTTGCTTTCAAAGCTCAAAGAAACTTCGACTGTTCAGACACCGCAAGTTGTCCTGAAAATAAGGTCTTGTATTCACTCTTAATTACTCAAGTCAACATTTAAAAAAGCCTAATACATGTTATTAGCTACGCAGCGCCACAGTTGTGCATTGGTAGTTTACAGACATAAACACATGACGCCTTTCACAGGAATTTATAATTTATACACAATGACGTGACAGATAGACATGATTATCAGACACGAAGTGCAAAATGGCATGCAACTAGTTGCTTTCAACTTATATATGCATTGTCTTCCATTTCAACATGATTTTTATTAGGTGGCTCATAGCGCGGGCAAGCACCCCAGCTCACACTTCACATTTTGTATACATTGAGCTTAATAAAATCTTTTGTATTTTCACATTCATAACATCTTTAAACTTAACGATTACTGACATTTACATTCAAGTGGAAAATCCAAACTACAAGCATTCTTTGTATATGCATTCTTCAAGTTACACAAAGCCTACAAGCTATTCCACTCTTAAATATGCCTACTTCCAGGAAAAGGCTGCATAAGGTACATTTTTATTAGATTATTCACAGCAATAAAACCATATTGTGCATACAACAGCAGATCAGTCTCCTGCTGCGGTTAAGTAGCACCTGTTTTCAAATTATTTCTGAAATAGTTCTACTTGCTTAAATCTCCCACTTTGCTGAGCTTCCGCAGCAGGCCAGTGTGGCTCTCCAGGCTTGGCCATGCTGTAGATGCCATCTTTGTATTATTTTATGGATAAAACTTGCCACAATTAGAAGATAAGTTCTAATCAAGAAAAAAAAAAAATCCTAGAACACACAAGGAGCCCACACCTGGTGCATGCCAATGCTAAAGGGACATCAATGACGCTTCTGGCTGATGCGACAATGGGAGTATCAGGTCACCTCACCTTGGTCAGAGAGACATGACGCAATGCGACACGAACAGCGGACATCTCTGCCTTTGGTGATGACACAAAGAGTATCAGAACTACACAATCAGCTTGTGGAGATGCCAGATCCAGTTATATGTACAGATTCCTGCATTCCTGAAATACACTTAATGCTGCAGAATTGTCACAGTGACTTTCTCGTCTTACAATCTTATCTGGAAATGAGTATTAATCAAATCTGCGAACGGGAGAATTATCTGCATAGATTTTTTTTTTCAGATTCCTGAAGCTTCACCCCTAACAGATATGTGCCAGTGAATGACACTGGTAGCTCCTGGTCGAAACACGGAACTTTGCTTGCTGTAAGCAGTCATAAGAAACACTTTTTTTCCCTGTACTGCAGAAGGCTTGGAATGCACAAGTATTAGCAGGCTAGAAGTTACTATTATAATGACCAAAAAAGTGGGGAAATGTTGAACTGTTTGACAGCTTACTGACTCCAGAGCACTGACGGGCACTGACCTGTTGTGAACTTCCCTGGCTTTTACACATGTGCGCAAATCATCATTTGGGTTGAAATCTGTCCTCCTAAACTTACGTCATTCCAAAGCAAGTTGGAAAGTTTGAAAAAATACCAAGTAAACAATTTTTGAGCACTACTGCTGCAAAATGTTTACACATCTCTGGTGTTTTAAGCCAGTTCCAACATTGCCTTCTTTAATAGTTATACAGCAAATTTTTAAGACTCCTGTCCACTAAAAGGCATTGCATCCAAAATTTAGATCTTCAAAGCCCAGTCTCAGCTTTCACTAACATTTGTACACACCCACATTTTCTATATTCGATTTCTGAGAATCCCATTTTTGTGCATGCTCTTAAGCCACATAAAACGCATTAGTACTGATGGCCTGCACCTCCCTGGAATTCACAAGCAGGTCGTCTTCTCACCCTCCTATCACAGGGCCTCACCCTTTACAACAGACTTCACATAAAAAGCACATTCTTCTATGCCACAATTCCGGGGTTACTGAAAGGTACTAAAAAATCGACTTAATTTCCCTCTCCTATTGGAATTTTCTCTAGCCCCTCTTTCCCACTCCCCAAGAGGTTAGCAACCTAAGTCGGGGACCTCCACATTCCCTTC